GAATGTTTTTTTTTTTTTTTTTAATATACCCAGAGATGGGCTTTAACATTTTTCATGGCAGGAAGCATTTTACATTTGGACACGTAAAGTGATATTGCGGTTCATTTTGGCAGTCCATTAGTAAACACTTTGCTTTTGTGTCCCCCCCTCACCCTAAAATATTTGTCTATATGATCTTCATAAGTGGTTCTGGAATGAGCTGTGTGATTATTATTATTATACAGGATTTATATAGCGCTAACAGTTTGCGCAGCGCTTTACAATATAAGGAAGACATTACAGTTACAATACAATACAAGATGGTAAGGAGGGCCCTGCCCCTGAGGGCTTACAATCTGAAAGAGGAGGGGGAAATGATACATAAGGAGGGAGCTGTGTGGGGATGAATTATTTGAGAATGTGAAGGTTCAGTGGTTAGGTCGAGGTGGGATAGGCTTACCTGAAGAGATGAGTCTTTAGGGAACGCCTAAAGGCAGTCAAGGTGGGAGATAGACGGACAGGTTGGGGTAAAGAGTTCCAGAGGATGGGAGAGACTCTAGAGAAGTCCTGGAGGCGAGTATGGGAGGAGTGGAAAAGGGAGCTGGAAAGCAGGAGGTCAATGGATGAGCGGAGGGGACGGTTAGGGTAATACTTTGAGACAAGGTCTGAGATATATCCGGGGGCAGAGTTGTGGATGGCTTTATACGTGACTGTTAATATTTTGAATTTTATCCTCTCGGCGAGTGGAAGCCAGTGTAGGGATTGGCAGAGGGGGGATGCAGACACTGAGCGGTTGGTAAGGTGAATGAGTCTGGCAGCTGCATTCATGATAGACTGAAGGGGGGATATCCTGTGTAGTGGAAGGCCAATGAGGAGGGAGTTACAATAGTCAAGACGAGAGATAACAAGGGAGTGGATAAGTAGTTTTGCGGTGTCATTGGTGAGGAAGGGGCTTATTTTGGAGATGTTACGAAGGTGAAGGCGGCAGGATTTGGATAGTGATTGGATGTGGGGAAGAGAGGTGAGGTCCGAGTCAAGGATGACACCTAGGACCTTGGCAAGAGGAGAGGTTTGGATAGTTGTTATCAATCTCAACTGAAATGTTGGGGGAAGGTTTTTTGGGGCGAAACCCGGACTGAAAGGGGTCCAAAAGGTTGTTATTAGCGAGGTGGCAACTCGGGCGGTTGTATAATGTAGTAGTTTAGAGGTGAATGGGAGTAAGGAGATAGGTCTGAAATTATTGAGGTTGGTAGGGTCCAGTGAAGGTTTTTTTGGGTATTGGGGTGACTAGTGCATGTTTGAGAGGGGTAGGAAAGATTCCAGTAGAGAGGGAACGATTGAAAATGTTGGTAAGAGAGTCTAGGATAGAGCAAGAGGGTGACCGAAGTAGTTTTGAGGGAACAGGGTCTAGGGTGCAAGTGGTGAGGTGGGTGGCAGAGATATAAGCTAACGCCCCCCGCTTAAATGGAAGTGGCGAAGTGGATGCCATAGCAGGACACCGTGCGGCTAACTGAATGAAGTGTACACGTTGTACATTCCACACAAGTTAAAAAATAGAAATGTAAACCATGTGCAATACAACGCACACTGCCAGAGCTGCCACAACGCACTACCCTGTTTTAGCGGATGGCAAGGGTGAACTTTTAGATTGTAAGCCCTCGGCCTTCCTTACCATCATGTATTGTCTTGAATTTTATGCACATGAAAATGCGCACACATGAAGGTGCACGATTTGACTGGCAGTTTAAGAAACATTGCAGTCACTGTATGAACGCGCGTACAAGCGCACATGAAAGTGCAATATTCGTCTGCCATACCATTTCTGGCGTTTCCATTGAAGTCTAGGGGGGAAAAAAAATGAGTTTGAAACTGCCAAAAGAAGCTCGTACTTTTCCCAAGTAGTCTTCCAGGACAGCATCTGAGAGATAGTCTCCTCCCACCTGAAACAGGAAACGCATCACATACACCAAATAGAAGGCCGCTTACCCCCCAGCATGCCTCAGTTTATTTGTGTTTCCTCGGCCTAAACAGGAGCATGGGGAACATTTTTGTTATTTGCTGTATAGGCCTGCGTGCACGTGGCAGGGGCCTACTGCTCGGGCATCTCCTTAACAGAGCCAGCGGCTTGGGGGTTGCCTGGGCAAGATCCCTGGGGCAGTCCCCATCCTGTCCTACCCTTGTGGGTGAAGGCCCTGAGGTTCCCCTCATTTAAGAGGATAACCATCCTGCGGTTGTGTCGGCTCCAGCTGAGTTTTCCCCTCAACCTACAGGCAATAGCTGCCCTCGATGGCCCATGTGGGTGTCAGATGAGGGAACTCTGATGCTGGCCCTCCCTGGCCTGGATCAGGTTAGTGTGGCAGGACCCCCTTTTTTTCCTCCCTGCAGTGTAGCCTCGACGGCCAAGCACCCCGCCCGGGACGTTTGTGGGTTTTACTCACGCGGCAGACGCCGATGTCATGGGCCGGGTAGGGAAAGAACCCCCTGCAGCCGGTTTTCTTCTGACCTAAGCCTCGTCCATTCCCGGTGAGGGGAACGAGGCGGGGAGAGATTTCTCCAGTCAGAGCGTCTTCCGGGTATGGGGCGCATGTCGATGATGTCAGACGTCGGGATGGCGCGGCGTTGTCCGGGCCGAGGTGTGGGGAAGGCTCAAACTGTTCCTCCCTCAGTGGCAGGAGGTTACGGCCAATGGTTTTGTCTTAAACCTTATCCTGTGGGGTTACAGGATAGAGTTCTTGAAACCAGCCCCTGTCAGATTTCTCTTAACGTATCTTTCAAAAAACCCAGAAAAGGCCCAAACGATGATTCTTGCCTTGCAGAACCTTCTGGACCAGAAAGTGATCTGCCCGGTACCGGAGGGGTAACGGGGCTCCGGGTGCTACTCCCATCTCTTTGTAAGGGTAAAGCCCTCGGGCAAAGCCAGGTTAATCCTCAATTTGAAACCCTTGAACCGAGTAGTTCGGTACAAAAGGTTCCGTATGGAATCTATCTACACGGTAAGAAGTCTGTTGTCCCCGTTGGTGTTTCTAGCGAAAATAGACTTAAAGGATGCTTACCTCCATATACCTATCAGGGAGCAGTCGCAGCAGTTCCTCAGGTTTGCGATAGGACCACCAAGGGACTGCTCACTATCAATACAAGGCTCTCCCTTCGGTCTTTCATCGGCGCCAAGACTTTTTACAAAGGTGCTGGCGGAGGCACTTGCTCCACTGAGGCTTCAGGGGATAGGGGTCATCCCTTAACTGGACGACCTGTTATTTTTCAGCCACTCGTGGGAGACCCTCGGGGAACTTGGACCTGGCAGTTGCTCACTTGCAGGGTCTGGGCTGGCTGATCAATGGGGAGAAATCCCAACTTCAGCCGACGCAGGAGATTATTTTCCTGGGCTACTGGATAGATTCATCGGTATCTCGACTGTTCCTCCCAGAGGAGAAGCAGGAAAAAATGGCGGATCTAGCGCTATTCCTGTTTCTATCCCAGGGGGTGTCTTTCAGGGTCATAATGCGTCTCCTTGGTCTTATGACCTCGGCTATCCCAGCAGTGCCTTGGGCCCAGTTCCATTCGAGAACACTTCAGGCTTTTCTCTTGCAGCATTGGGGCGGCGAACAAGAGACGCTGGACGAGCATATCCAGATCCCGGGTCACGTAAAAGCTTCCCTCAACTGGTGGTTGGAGAAGAATCTGGACACGGGCAGGCTGTGGGGAGTGCCACAGCAGGTGACAATCAGCACAGATGCCAGTGCCTGGGGTGCTCATTGGGGGGAGCACTTAACCCAGGGAAGGTGGGACCCGGGGTTGAGTCGGAAATCTTCCAACGTCAGAGAACTAAAAGCGATCGGCCTGGCCTTGGGTGAATTCGAGGCCGGAATCAGTGGTTCCCATGTGGCAGTCCGGTCGGACAATGCCTAGGTGGTTGCCTATGTAAACAGGCAGGGGGGTACAAGGTCGCGACCTCTGATGGCCCTGACGCAAGAAATTCTGTCCTGGGCGGAGGTCAGGCTTTTATCCCTCACAGCAGTTCATCTGAAAGGGACCCTGAACTCCTTAGCCGACTTCCTGAGCAGGAGACGCATTCTCCCGTCGAAATGGGTGCTAAACGACCAAACGTTCCAGACGCTAAAGAGGAAGTGGCGGTCCCCAGAGGTAGACCTGTTTGCCACCAGGGAAAACAGGAAGGTAGAAGCATTCTTCTCCATATGCCCAGGGGACAGAGCGCTAGGAGTGGACGCGTTCGCCCATCACTGGAGTTTGGCGCTGGCGTATGCTTTCCCCCCCGGTAAGGCTGTTACCCAGAGTACTATCGAAGGTTGCACTGGAGCAGCTGACTCTCATCCTCATTCCACCTTGGTGGCCAAAGAGACCTTGGTTGGCGACACTTCACAACCTCAGTGTAGAACATCCTTGGATTCTGCCGATAATTCCAGAATTGCTGTCCCAGGGCCCAGTACGGCACCCTCATCCAGATACCCTCAATCTAGCGGCTTGGTTTCTGAGAGGGAGATCCTACTAACCAAGGGGCTTTCAAACAAGGTCGTAGCCACTCTGCTTACTAGTAGGAAACCAACTACCTCTGCGATTTACAACAAGATCTGGAAGACATATTCTTCTTGGATGATCCTTATCAACATGAGGGATAAACCAGTTGTCGTGGCGGTGTTGGAATTCTTACAGAAGGGGGCGGATATGAATTTGTCATGTAGTGCGGTAAGGGCGCAAGTGTCAGCACTCTCAGTATACTTGGAGATTAGACTGGCAGAGGAACCCCTGATTAAAAGATTTCTGAAGGCCACGACCCGGCACAGACCGCCACCCGTTCGAGGTTACCCCTCTTGGGACCTGTCAGTAGTACTCCATAGCTTCCGCGGGGCCCCCTTTGAACCTATTGCAGACTCCTCGATAAAACTGCTTACGGTAAAAGTGGCTCTGTTGATAGTGGTAGTATCAGCCAGAAGGGTGAGCGAGATCCATGCGTTCTCAATGGCAAAACCTTATTGCGTTATTCATGCAGACAGGATCATCCTCAAACCACATCCAGGGTTCCTGCCAAAGGTGGCCTCAACGTTTCATCACACCCAGGAGATAGTTATTCCTTCTTTCCACCCTAACCCAGTTACCTCGGAAGAAGACTGACGGCCATTGATGTCAGGAGATGCATTCTGGAGTATCTGGACAAAACCAGCAGCTGGAGGAAGTCCAATAATCTGTTACTCCTGTTTTTCAGGCGCAAAGAAGGTCCTGAGGGCGTCTAAGGGTACGATAGCCAGATGGATAAAACTGGCGATATCGGAAACTTATAGGCTTCAGGGCTTGGCACCACCGCAAAATGTGACGGCGCACTCTACCAGGGCCTGGGCTTCATCTACGGCTGAAAGGGCAGATCAAATCTTTCGGGCAGCGACTTGGTCCGGCTTCCAAACGTTTGTCAAGCACTCTGTGTCCTCTCGTGTCACTAATCTACTATCCGACATATCCGTCTGGATGTCGCAACACTTCTTAAAACTCAAATCTTTCAAAAACAGAGCTCTTGATATTTCCTCCTGCCCATGCAACTTTCCCCCAACTTTACCCTTGAGATTGATAACACAACTATCCACCCATCCTCCCATGCCAAGGTCCTAGGTGTCATGCGTGACTCGGACCTCACCTTTCTTCCCCACATCCAATCACTATCCAAATCATGCCGCCTTCACCTTCGTAACACCTCCAAAATACGCCCCTTCCTCACCAAAGAAACCGCAAAATTACTCATCGGTTATATCTCGTCTTGACTATTGCCACTCCCTTCTCATTGGCCTTGCGCTACACAGGATATCCCCCCTTCAGTCTATCATGAATGCAGCTGCTAGACTCATCCTCCTAACCAACCGATCAGTGTCTGCAACCCCCCCTCTGTCAATCCCTGCTTCCAATTGCCCAAAGGATAAAATTCACAATATTAACAATCAGTTACAAAGCCGTCCACAACTCCGCCCCGGCTGTATCTCAAACCTGGAGTCAAAGTATCACTCTAACCGTCGGCTCCGCTCATCCCAAGACCTCCTGCTTTCCAGCTCCCTTGTCAACTCCTCCCATGCTCGCCTCCAGGACTTCGCTAGAGTCTCTCAGACTGTTGGCACTATATAAATCTTGTATAATAATAATAATAATAACACTCTTCTAGTGACTTTCAGTTTTTGAATTGTGGAGGTTTTTATAGTGCGCTTTGCTTTTTATTTCAACACAGGCATTGAGCTCTGCAGCCTCTGGGAAGCCTCAGTTTGACAACTCCATAGATTTTTTGTCTAATGTTCCTCACCGCAAGCATCCAGGAATCTTGCACTTGAATATAGTACGTCTGCCACAGGAAGCTGAGGATGCAGCCAAGTATATTCTAAAAAGTAAGTGTTGCTTTAAAATTCATTTACAGTGTATACACCCAGAAATGTACTCCTGCTGAAGCTAACCTTTTCAAAATTGTTATATCTTGAATGCCAAAAGCATTTGAGTAATAGTGTTTTGCGGCATGTGCTTACTAGTTTCTTGGTAGAGAGGGAATGTTTCCTTCCTGTCCTTTTTAATTTATTTTGGTTTATTTCAGAATGCCATATCCAAGGTATGGAAGAGCATGCAGCTGCTTTGAGTAACTACCTATGGAGCAGGAAACGCCCTATTGAGGATACTGAATTGAGGATAAAAGCATCAGCAATAGAGGATGAGTTTAAAGCCAGATTACCAGATTCAGGCAAATATATTTTATACCTTCTAGTTATAACAAAGCTTGAACCCTTATATCTTTTTTGCATTATCATTTGACTATGATGGAGATGGAAGGGGCAGTAGTACAGGAATTTAGTTTTTATCCTAGTATGATGTATAGCTCCTGCCAAAGGTGTTTCCAAGAACAATGAAAATCCCACTTTTGAATTGGACTCCTTATTGTAAAAAGGAGAGGTCTTCATCTCCTCCAACATCATGAGAACATGTGCTGCTGTTCCAAGTGCTTGACAGACTAAAGTATAGTCATAATTGCAGGCTGATTTCCAGAGGTGGTGCTACAAGGAATCTAACTGCCTGAACTCCAGCTGATAACCCCATAACCCTTTATTGAACATTCTTCTTGACTATACAGCTCTGCTAAGTGATACTGTTACCCTCAGGAGAAGGCCCATGTGATCATCATAAGGCCGAGCACTTCATGTGACTGCTTATCGCTAACTACTGCTAGGTTCAGTCTGGAAGGAAGCTTAACCTAGCGCTACATTCGGGAGTTAAATCTTAAAAATACATTCAAGTACCCTAATTATTAATAAAAATGTATTATTTATTTGTATTATTTGTATATTTGTGTATCACTCGGCTGTAGATCCTCAAATCATGTCTATGACTACTACATTATTCCCCATGGTTCCTGTGTGTGTTTATAAAGTAGCTACCACTACAACGTACTCCCGTAATGGACTACAATCTAAATACAAATGAGTAAACTAAATGTGAGATTGTAGTCCATCACATGAGAGAGCTTAGGTATAGAAAAGATACCCAAATAACATCATTTTTTTTCATCTACAGCTGAGTGATACACAAATAAGATACATGTTTGTTAATAGTTATGGTACATGAATGCATTGTTAAGATTTAACTCCTGAGTAGGCATGCACCGATATATCGGCCGCCGAAACATATCGGCCGAAAATTGCACTTTTGGCTAAATGCCGAAAGTGCCATTTTTGTGCCTATACGTCGGCGCATCCCAGGTTTCTTTCCTCCCCGCTGGGCGCTGCTCTGTGTCCCAGCGGGGAGGAAAGAAAGTGATAGCCGGCCAAGCGCTGCGGGACGAGAGCGCTGTGAGCGGCCGGTCTCTCTCCTCCCATACCGCTCGGCCGCCTATCACAGTCCGGCAGATCGTTGTGGGGGCGGAGACAGTGCTGTCACAGGAGGCTGAGCTCTCATCCCGCACCGCTCGCTCGGCCTCCTGTGACAGAGGAGAGTGGTACAAACACTCAGTGATCAGTGATTGCTGAGTGTTTGTACATAATTGAGGGCATGGTGTGGTTATTATATCCTCAATTATGAATCTGCTCCGGTGGGCGGCCCTCCGAGCAGGGTCATCTGGCAGTCTCCGGCCACCTAAATTAGGACCCAGAGACTGCCAGATGACCCCGCTCGGAGCGCCGTCCACCGGAGCAGCAGTGACGCGACGCTCGGCGAAGTAAGAAGAAACCTGACCAGCTCGAGACGCTGACTCGAGTATAAGCCGAGGGGGGCACTTTTCAGCAAAAAAAAATGGGCTGAAAAACTCGGCTTATACTCGAGTATATACGGTAAATAGTTTATAAAAAAATATTTGAAAAAATGTAAAATAAATTTTTTTTTGGGTTTTGCCTGACATTTTTGTTTGTTTCGGTTTTTACATTTCTATTTCGGTGCATCTCTACTCCTGAGGTTACAGTCACTTTAATGTGTGAGTTCAGCCCAAATATTTTTTTAAAATATACTTTGACAGGGTTAACATGCCAGTCAGGTTTCGTTACTATCCAGAACGTCTTTATACAGACTTACTAGGTTTAGTGAGGGGAAATCTCTCTCCAAACAGAACAGAGCTCTAAAATTTGGTGGACGTAAACTTTAACTGGATGTTGGTTAGCTTTTTTTTTTTTGTATTGTTTTGGGGGGAAAAGGAGGTTTACAATGCCAGAGTGCTAGCCACCAAGCAATTCCTCTTTTCTCATCAAGAACATTGAACTCCTACTTTTCATTATTTAAATTGAAAGATTGCATTATCTTCATATAAAAAATACTAAACCCTTTTTTTTTCTCTTTCTTTTAGAAGAAAGTCAATATGTATAAATGCTGTAGTAGCTTGAGCAAACTACTTTACTTTATTCTCTAACCACTTGCTCTCATCTTCTAGTACAGGAAGATTTCTAATAAAAAAGGATTGGCTACCACTGACAATAACTACAAACTAACATACCTGCCTACAACTACACAGGCTATCCCCCCCTTCAGTCTATCATGAATGCTGCTGCTAGACTCATCCACCTAACCAACCGCTCAGTGTCTGCAACCCCCCTCTGCTGATCCCTGCACTGGCTTCCAATAGCCCAAAGGCTTAAATTCAAAATATTAACAACCAGTTACAAAGCCGTCCACAACTCTGTCCCTGGCTATATCTCAAACCTTGTCTCAAAGTATCACCCTAACCGTCCCCTACGCTCCTCCCAAGACCTCCTGCTTTCCAGCTTCCTTGTCAACTCCTCCCATGCTTGCCTCCTGGACTTCTCTAGAGTCTCTCCCATCCTATGGCACTCTTTACCCCAACCTGTCCATCTATCTCCCACCATGACTGCCTTTAGGCGATCCCCAAAGACTCGTCTCTTGAGGGAAGCCTATCCCACCGCAACCTAACCACTGAACCTTCACATTCTCACATAATTCATCCCCACACAGCTACCCCCTCATGTATCACTGGCCCCTCCCTTTAGATTGTAAGCCCTCACGGGCAGGGCCCTCCTTACCATCCTGTCTTGAATTGTATTAGAATTGCTATGTCTTCCTTATATTTTAAAGCACTGCACAAACTGTTGGCTCTATATAAATCCTGTATAATAACATGGATGGCCATTGTTAATTAATTTTTTTACTTTAAAAAAAAATGAACTTGCACGTTTTATGTGATGAAAGCATAAAATAATATAAAATTAACTGTTTGTCATTGACAGAGGAGAACACTCCTGCATATAAGGGAAAGATAAAAAGTCAAGTACTAAATGCTTTGCGTAAGCAAACGTATAACTGGCAGCCTTTGAGGTAAGAATTCTCACACTGAGATCCAGAGACTTCAGACTTGCAAACTGTAATATTTTTGTATTTATTTGTTAGTGCAAATCTGGTAGGTAGCAGTAGGTTCACTATTATAAAGTAAATATAAATGTACATGGTATTCTGAATTTTACTGGAAACTCCACCTAAAAACGGATTTTGATGAACAGCTGGCCACAGAAATTAGTTGGCAGCTGGGCATCCATAATCAAAACACCCAAAAATCTAATTTCCCAACCTCGTGCCTTAGGCGTTCTACTACCTTAAAAAGAACGTTGTTGTAGGGCATGCAAAGCATACCCCGTCCCTCCCCTGCTACTACTGCTCCCTCCCATGTTTCTCCCCATAGCTATTATTATTTTTTTCTGTTTTTTTATTTTATTGCAATGCTCTGTAACAGGAACAGATTTCATTTTTTGCATTCGCAGTGGACTGGAACGCAGGCAATGTTTTGCCACGTGTCTGATTGCACTGCGGGGGGCGTGGCTGCGGTGCCATTTACTTCAATGCATTGCCATGCCCCAGAATGAAGGGGGAACATTAGTGAGCGATTGCTGTGCATTCCAGCAGCTACCGCACTAGAATGCACCTCAGTTGGTGTAAATGGGCCCTTAAATGGGCTTTCAGGTGCAGACCAGAGAAAATGAGACCCGCAGTATTTATTTTTTCGTCTGGACCGGAATGGACTACACTGGTATGAACAGAGCCCAGACATACCATAAGGATACATTGGGTTACTTTTTTGGTCTCGGAACAAACTGTTCTGGTCTGGACATGGTGTGAACAAGCCCTTCCTATGTAACACTACATTGTGTTGTATTGCTCGATAGTTTAATTGTTGAAATGTTTGCTTGCAATCTCTCTTGCCTAATTCAATCATAAATCATTGTGTGTATGGCCATCTGAAGAGCAGAGCTCTTATCGTTTACAGCTAAAGAAGGTGCCATCTTAAACTCTATGTGGACTGTAGTTCCCATGGTGCTGCACATGGGGTCAGCTATTAAACCGACCATTTGAGTCCCTGAAAGTTCAGCTGAGAGATGAAATAAGCACACTGGCAACCTTGACAGTTGGCATGCCTTGAAAGTAACTGTTCTGGGAGACCATTAAATTGGTGGGTCTATTTTCTCTTTACCCACTTCATGCCGGTTCACGTAAATGCACATCATCCGCTTGAAGTGATTATGCCAAGAACATGGCTGCTGCTGCATCGGTTTAAACAGCAGGCAATTGCTGTATATGTACAAGCGATCCGGCATCTGTACAGCCACCGGATTGTTTTTACCTAGAGGCTTCTAGCTGTTGATCTCTTCTCCTATCACTGGACCCGGATGTGACGTGTATTACATCACTTCCGGTGTCACTGTTTACATTCTCCGGCTTTTAGAACCAAGAGAAGAAGCTGGCGAAGCAGCAGTTTTGTGGGGGGTCCCTAGGTGGCCTTAGGGATCTGAAAGTCTCCAGACCTGATGTCTCCATAAAGAGGACTTGTCACATCCTATTTGCTATTACATAGGGGGATTCTTATCCCATTATATGATGGCAATAAAGTTGAGTGTAAAAAAAATGAAGGTAACATTAAAAAAATCTCCGCCCCCCCGTTGCGTCTCCTTGCAAAAACGAAAATTGCGCCAAACATGTTGCATATTGCCGCGAACGCCGGAGTGAGAGCAATAATTCTAGGCCCATCAGTCACAGTTAACACTAAATTGATGAGCAGTAAAAGCTTTTAAAGCGTCACCTATGGGAAATTTTGGGTATTGTATTTTTTTTTTTGCGGTTTCACAGGCGAATGCAATTTTAAGGCTTGACATGTTTGGTATCTATTTACCCGATGTGACCCCATCTTTTATATTTTACCAAAAGATTGGGTATTCTGTTTCTGTGCACTAAATTTCATTTTAGTATATTTCATCCTAACAATACTGGTTTGAGAAACATTTGCCTAAATAATGTGCAACATAAAAAATTGCAGCTACAGGGCCTCTTCTTTCAGAAAACATAGAATTGTTTGGGGGTCTGAAGCTGTTTTCTAGCCAAAAATTCAGATTATATCACGTGTGTGTGCAAATGGTAAAAAATTGCTTTGGGCAGTGGTACCGTTTAGGTGTCTGCTGTAGTCCTGAAGGTACCTGTAAGTATCCAGGTATGGTACTTTTTGTTTTGAGATCAGATTTGGATGAAAATAAATAGATGTATTACACTGTGCACGGGTTAAATTTGACAGCGGAAGCGCTACATACGAGTCTTTGAAATTTGTAAGCAACAGGGGGAATATTTTACAATCTATGTCTTACAGCTAATATCATTGTGTAGAGTTTTTATTGATGGAAGCTCAATTTAACCACAACAAATTGCACTTCTCTTGAGCACTTATTTGAGAGCAAATATGCAGTATAACATTTTACACTATGGGTGTCTTGATACTTTCACAGTATTTGAATATGAAATACAGTGTACCAAATTTCCCTGTATGCGTATTCATTGATGCATTGTGTTTCTATGTAGTTACACAGAGCAGACTGCCACGGTGTATTTGGCTGCGCGCTTTGATGGAGGATATGCTGCAGTAACAAGAGCTCTACAAGAGGTGAGATGGTGAAAATACTCCAATATGAGCACCAGAAAATGGTCTCTGCTCTCTACATTTGCACTTTACATTTACTACTTAACCAGTTGTGTAGTTACACAAACGTCTTGCTCAACCACAGCTTCCTGGTCACAAAATGACAGCTGTAATTTGTTTTGTATGACAGGATCAGATCTTTGTGCTACTGTACAAGCTGACACAAGCATCTGCAATTTCCATAAGTTGCTACAATGTAATGTTATTTTCTTTCTGCCTGACCTAGAAAGTCTTAGACTTTCAATTTATACTGCATGAACCCTAAGTTACTAGAAATGTTCATTATGGGTTTCAAAAGTAGCACTGTAGAAATCTTTTTTTTTTTTTTTTCTTCCTTCAGACTGTCCCTCTCTGATTGAAAAGTTGTATGGCTCTCTGAATAGAAACAGGAAGGATGCATCACTGCTCTGATTCATTCACGTTTTTTTTTTTAAACAAGGGTATTCAATATTTTAAAAATGCAGCCATGAAAAGTCTGGAAAAATTGTGATTACAGCTCCACCTGCTGGATGAAAAAGAAAATACTAAATATTAATATGCAATATTTCATACTAACTTACCAACAAATAAATATATTGTTGTTTTATGGTGATGAGCATATATGAAGAAAATATAATAAAAATGCCATACATTCCCTTCAAAGATAAAATAGCAAGCCTACCGTTCATGGTTAATCTGTAGCTAATAAAAGGGCTACACATTCAATGGGCTTGACTGTAAATTAATCACAATATATATCTTTCCTGCCATTAATCTCCCTGTTCTATAAAATGTCTTCTATACTTAACAGATACGTCAGCGTGTTCCTGATTTTACGCCTCAGACATTGTTGGATTTTGGCTCTGGTGTTGGATCAGTTTCATGGTGAGTGTTATTTGCATCAGAAAAAAAATCCTGATATAGTCAGTCAGTTTTTGACTTCAGTGTTTTCTTTTGCATGCTTTGAATAGCTCATGTCAGACAATAGGCTCAGTTCACTAAACAGTGACAACTAGGGGCTGATTTATAACTCTTTGGCCCAGCTATATGAGCGCTATATGAAACCATTGCAACATCAAAACAATTCACTAACTGGGACTGTGGCATTTTTTTGGGGCCATTTAGCGCTCCATTTGTCAACAATATTTACTTAACCCCTTCGTGACGGGAGACGTACAGTGTACGTCTTGTCACTTTGTGCCTATATGACTGGCCACGTACACTGTACGTGACGAGTTATATCAGGCTTTGTAATGCCGGTATTTGCTGATTCTCAGCATTTAACAGTCATTCATTAATGTCTCAGTATTGAGGCATTAATTAATGAAATAATTAAGCTTTTTGTAAAAGCCTCTTCCTTTCATTAATGAAAGAATGAAGCCGTTACATGCAAATAGAGGACCGCAATTTGCGATCCCGTATTTGACAGCTCAAAATAGCAGAGAGGCAGCAGTGACTCACCTCACCTCTCTGCTATTTGTTTTGACAGTTCGAGAGCCCGATATTTAGATACATTTCACTGAAAGAATACAATGTATCTCTTTTGAGTGAAATGTATCATTTCTGATCGTCTAGGCACGATCAAAGAGCTTTTAGTGAGATCTGAATCTGACTAAAGTCAGGATCAGTCTCTAAGGTTATTATTAGCTGTTCCTAAGTTTGGATCAGCCTAATAGCCAAAAATAAAATAAAAAAAGTTAATTTGTCAAGCTGTCATAGTGATTGCTTGATATAAACTGACAAGAAAAAAAAAAGTTTTATTTTATTTTTATTTTTTTTACAAAGTGTAAAAAAATTAAAATAAAGTGTAAAACAAAATTAGGAAAATATAAATTATATATAAATATATTTTTTATACTATAATTAATATAAAAAA